TGAGAATGTCATTAAAAAGGTCTGGCCAAAAGATTACAGAATAGTCGAACATTGTACAAGGGCTGTTACCGAGAGGTCTCAAGTGGAAAAGGAAACTCTATAGCCACTATCTAAGAGACAGGCGCGTATTATAATGATGTATGTAAGTAGGTACTATAATGGCAAGGCTGTAAGGAAATAAAGGATTTTATATTATTTCTGAACATCGTACGCACTCATACCCCGCACTATGAAGACCATGTATCGCGGGTGCCACGGATACACACACATAGACAACTACAAATTACACCTAAATTCACGAGAGAAATAAATATAGACCATACAATTTCTCCTAACCCGAGAACCGAACCCGGGACCTCAGCGTGGCAGCCCAGCATGGCGAGAAAATTTTTCTACTAATATGTCAATATTTTTTTATTATTTATTTAAGATTTCCCATTTAGAAAACAGTACACATTAAATAAAACAAATTAGCTTACAAAGTAAGTGTCTCTACGCATAAGACGCATCACAAGATGCAAAGCAGCAATGTAAGATGAAGTATTTAAAAATTATAATGAAACAATGGGAATTTACTGGAATCAACGCATATATGTGTATACCTTTTAAGTCTACATAAAATCTATTTTACTTTATAGTATTCAAGTATTCATTTTCGTACTTGGCTTTCGTACTTTCGTATTTTGCTACTTGGTGCAACGGGTTGGTGTCCGCAACTCGACGACAAAGCGCCTATTTTTCATTAATATAATAATCATTTATAATATTTAGTACAGAACTACTCTATACTATGGTAAGCATAGAATAACGATTTCATCTTCGTTATATGTTCGTTTACACTTTCTATGTACTTAGTAGCAGTAGAGCTCCTTGTAAAGAGTTCACCTAGGGAAGTGGCAGTACTTCCCGCCGCCTTTAGGTTTTAAAGGGTTAAGGGTGCTGGTGACATTACACTCACGTGCAACTTTTCAAGTAATGCCTCAGGGGGACGGACGAAGTGACGGTGCTCTTTAGATCTTTGCGGTTTAATAATAATAATAAATAATAAGCAGGGCGTTGGCAGTGAGGAGTAATATGCTGACTCGCAGATTTGCTCGATGCACAGAAAGTGTAAAAATAACACTATTTAAGGCTTATTGCACGTCATTTTACTCCAGCAGTCTATGGTCTCAGTACACCAAACGAGCTTACAACGCCCTGCGCATACAGTATAATAATGCGTTCAGGATGCTGTTGCGGCTACCACGCCACTGCAGCGCGTCAGGAATGTTCGCGGAGGCGCACACTGATGGCTTTCCCGCTATAATGCGAAAGAAGGCCGCTTCTTTTCTTTACCGTGTGCGTGGTAGTCGGAACAGCATACTAATATTTTTATGGCATCTAATACAAAGAGTCATAGGTGTAATTTAATTTAAGTGTACTATGTGATGTAATTCAAATGTAATATAATTTAAATAAGTACCTACTAACATAGTTGCTAAGTCTTACTAATAAATTATGGAAACTATTATTAAAGCTCTGAGTGGCACTGTAACTGATATGCGTAGGCGTGTCACCAGTAGGCTCACAACTTGTTCGTCCCATTGTTTGACATCATAAAAAAAATTACATGCCTTTTTCGCCGCGATGCGACTATGAAGCCTGAATACTATTGCCACAAAATGTCACAACTATGTAACAAGAGGCCGAATGGTAAATTAAATAACTTTTTTACGACCCATAACTCTGCATATTCCTTGTGACGTTAAATCTGAGCATTAAATCGATTTTATTGTCTCAATACGGACAAGAGCTTAACATATTGTACGTATTATTTTAGAACAGAACATATGTTGATTACGTAATACAACAGATGTGAAATTTTGTGATTGGATTATTGTGAACAAAGAATTATGTTTTATGAGACATTGTTTTATTAGGACATGTTAACTTATGGCACTAACAATATATGTATATACTTAGATATCTAATAACACTAGGCGGCATATATAGGTAAGGTGGAAATTATTATAATTTAATTTGTTTTTATACCCTTTTACTAACGTAATATTGATAATTGCCACTATCAAGGCATGCTGATGATGTTCATAATATATTTTAACATATTAATCTCGTCATAGGCACAATAATTCATGTCCAAAAATACACAATGACGCGCATTACTGCAATGAACACAAATGTTTGTATAACACCATACGTGTAACGAAACGCATATTTCATTTCATTGCACTCATTTGTTTACTTGCACTACCGGGACGAACTGACGATGACGTCATCGAACATTCAAAATTTCAGAAATGGAACAAAAATAGAATGCTTCTTTGTTCAATTAGGAAATAATACTGTGCCAACCACTTCGTGCTCGATAACAATGCAACGTTGTCGTTGGGAGTTTTTAGGGCACTAATTTTAGGGGAATTTATTTATTTATTGACCGACGGAAAACAAAAGTGCTTTGTTCGGGTGCCTTTTGTAGATCGTTGATGTTTAGCAATAAAGTCAAACGACCTCTAATACTAGTGGGTATTTTTATGCCCAAACGATTTTACATCAAAGCGATCTTTAAGAATACAAGCTCGTTTTATTTTCAAAGCTTTGAACGCAGAATCTTCAATATTATGATATTACAACACCATTTAGGCCTCATTGCCTATTTACTTAATCATCACTCAATTACACAAGTTTTACTTTTAATGAAGTAAATAACAATATTATGGTTACTTTACATTTCGAGAACATTTTTGCAGTTCAATATATGCATTGAATATATAATAATAATACGTTACGTAGGGCTTACCCAGTTTATTTTCTGTGATCATTACATGACAATTATCCATGCATTAGCATGCATGAAAAAACTAAATAAACACGAAGAAAATCTTTGAGAAAAGGATTTATGTGTTTTTTCTTGAGATTGACATTAAACAAGTTTGGATACGTCTTTGATACAAACAAAAGCAAAGCATTGCTAGCAGTAGCATTATGTTGTTACAATCAGTTTTATAAATATAGAAATAATCTTAGAATAATAACGCAATAATTATCAAGGTATATTTATTCGTGATAATAACCACGAAAATTATTAATGATAATTATCACTTCGAACCATGACATAACGCAAATGTCTATGAAGGTTTCGCTATAACACTTGTAATTCGCCTGTAGCTTATTTTTTTTAAATTTCTTCATTTATATTATATTACTTAAGATTTATTAAAAAAGAAACAACATACATATGTTGTTTATCCTTTGCATTTGTAACACATCTAACTAATTCATTTCAACCTTTACCATCATATGTACCTACTAGCTGAGTGGTACCATATTCATTAGGAAATATTAATTAAGCCAAGCTTTTAATTTGGTTGCACAAAAATAAGAGCCCATCAACGCAACCAGTAATTTCCTGCTATGAAAGACATTTGTAAGTGTTAGTTAACGACAAATTTATTGCTATTTATATTTATAACTGTTCACAGATCATCCGGCAGGAGATACCGCACTGCGTACACAATATGGTGCGTGTACGCCGACAAACGATCAACACACGTCCACAATGGAAGGAATTAAATTAAATTTAAAAGTAGGTATTTTTATCTCACATATAAGAAACCATCCACACAGGTCAAGTACAACCAAATCCGTAAAGTTTTATACCCTTACTATGTCGTTGTTTACGAATTCAGTTTTTCCCGCTCCACACCTCAAGATAGCAGTAGAGCTCCTTGTGAAAGAGTTCGTCCGGGAAAGTACTGCAATATTATTTATTACTGCCGCCAAGCAGTTATCACATAATCACATAGAATTTGTCAACTAGCGTCGGGTGCAATTGCAATGCCCCTCAGATCTTTGCGATTCAAAGCTCTGAGTGGCTCTGTAACTGTTATGGACAGGCGTTTCGCTTAATACCAGAGACACGACTTGTTCAACAAAAAACAAAGAATCTACAGGGGGAACAATCTGACCTTGAATTGTACGGTACACATTATAGTTCCGATTTACAAGTACTGCTAACTACTTTGTAGCTACTTCACGCAAATATATTTTAAATCTAGAATTGGAAGAATATTTTACTTTGGGAGAATTTTTTTATATCTTCAGAGATGGTTGGATAAAAGCCCTGGTTAAAAATATGAGATATTATTATGCTTTATACAGAAATTAAATCGTATTTTTTAGATAGGTTGATCGAATAACACTGTTCAACTGAAAACATAATCAATAATGTGGAAATACCGTGGATATTTCTTTCTCTTTATACAAATAATATACATTAAATATTAAATATACATTAAAGCCAAATATGATACGTCAAATGTGCTGTTGCTGCTGTGTTGTTCAATTTCCATGCTCACATTACAGCTTGGCGGCAGAAATAGGTAAGGTGGCAGTGCTTCTCTGAATGACTCTTTCATAAAGCACTCTAATAAGACTAGTTTAAATCTCTCTCTTAAAAAGTTCTAATTTAGCAGATGTGGCCTTATTACACCAAAATTTAAAAAAATTCAATATTCAAAAAAAACTTTTTTTTTTTCAATGTTTGTTTTTTTTTAATTTTTAAGATGTGACACAATTAATTAGAAAATAGTTTAAAACCAAATAATAAGTACGATGAAGCATCGAATACAACTTAAAGACATTATAAAAATTCTGATCAAAGGAAATGTAAAAGATAAGGACGGACGGTATCGAACGAGAATAAATTACTTGGACCAAATCAAAAGAAAAGGTCGTTTAAGAACCTCCTTAATTTTTCTAAGTCACAGAAAAAGCTTTGCAAGTTACAGACAGGCGATTATTACACCAACAAGGTCGTAGGTAGTTCTCAAATCTTAGAGAAAGAGGTCAAACATAGGTCAAATGACACATAATGCAATATAATTTCACAATAAATATTAGTATTATGGCGATCACAATTATACTAAAACAATTTTCAAAAATATTTATACATACAATGAAGAGTACAAAGTTGAAAAAAAAAATTATTGGCAGTAACTTACAGTTTAACGTTTTGTGTAAAGCATCTCCACAGACTGATTGTTACCTGTAACACAAAATATACAAATAATTATAATTTCTAACACTTAATATAAAAAATCCTTTGGATTCAGTGAAATACAACAAAGTGATTATCGTGAACCTATTACAAAAATATGAAATATTATTTGTTTTTCGCATTATACAATAATAAAATTAGAAAATTTAGGACGAGTTTGACAATGATTATTAGAACAGTTTCAATGAAATTGGACAGTTTATGTTAGAAACGTAACAACATAGATATCATCTCTATAACTTTTGTATAGTTAATTACCCTTAAACAACAAGAAATTCTCAGAATTTTTCTCTAAAGAAGCATTACATTGGTCCTAAAAAGAGAGCACCTCCACCGATTTGCCGTTTTACTACGATTGACGAGTGTCGATAAGACCGCCCCCACGCCCCATCCAATTACTTATAGTGTATTCGAACGTGAGGACCCTATCTAAATTTCATCTGATTCCATATCCTAACATCAACTAGAGAACACTCGATGCAATCGCTTGATACAAAAATGAACTTCAACGCTATTCTTTTTTATTATTATGGAGATAAACGCAATAGGCACAACAGATGCTATCGTGTATTGCATGTTGACTTTAAATGACAAGGTTTAAGGGGAACTGGTCACTCACGCCAAGCTATTGTCATCTTATGTGAGTGGCATACGTAATCCTTCTGGTAGGTATAAATCCAAAGTTTCCATTCTATCAATAAGGACAAAGAAAACATCGACAAAAGAATGCTACATTGCGATTTAGGACCCTTGAAACTAGAGTGACGCTCCATACGTGCTTTAACATAAGTTAAAATCAACAATTCCAAATAATGACCAAATGTACAAAGTCAACAACAAACACATTCCTCTGTACAATTTCACCTTTATCGAACTATTTGTACTATTTGATTAATTTATTTGAACACAGATCAAACTCCCTGCAATCCGATTTTAATCAACGTGGTACCAAAATCGAAAACATTCCGACCACAACAGATCCCGATTCGAGCCGACTTGAATCGTTGCGAATATCGATAATTAAATTTTCTCCTATTCTCCGAAGATAAAGGAATACCGAACTCTGGAAATTTTAATCAGGTAAAAGAATCGAGTTAATCAAAGTTAATTTTAGGGAGGGCTCGGATTTCAATTTTCCACGTGATTTATTTCAAGGATGATTTAGATAGGATCCAGAGGGCAGGGGACGTCTTGTGTGTGGACTGTGATGGATGAACAGACGACTTGTTTTATTTGTATCGCGAGAAAAACACGGTAGTAGAAACTTCTTTTCAAATCTACGGTCTATAGGTTGTAACGCTAGATCTTTAATAAAAAAATATGAAACAAATTACATTGCATTAAAACAATTAACAAATGACAATGGGACAAACCATGACAAAGTGAAAGCATTTAGAAACAAACATGTATAACGTAATGATAAACTAAACATAAAGAACACCATGTAACTATGACAACAAAGAACCACCAAGTGTGTTTATTGTGTTACATAATGATGCCTAATAACAAAGAATAACATGATTGCCCTAGTCAAGAGAAAACTGCAGATTTTGGATTGCTGCTGCTATTGGATTTGTAAAAAATATGAAACGTTGTCGCTCAACTAGCAGGCAGAAACCTTTTCAATTGAATATATTAACATTTTACTGTCGAAAATGTAATAAAAACCGATAGGTACCATAAACGTAAATACGCGGGCTACGTGTAAAAAAGGAAAAAGAAGTTTAAAAATAGAAAGCAAATGTCTAACTTAAAAAAAAATATACAGAATATTTTCCGCATACTCCGGAAGCAATGAGGTTTCAAATTTTCCAAGTATTTTGATCATGTTCTTATTAATCAGACTTGCTTTCTGATTTGTAGAGATAACAGGGCCGGTAGGGGATTCAATTTTCCATACCAATAATTTTAAGGTACATTCAACGAAGCCCTGTGCGTCTAACCTTATAATTAAAATATGGTGATTACAAATGTGTTGAATGAAATGGACAAAGGTTCGTGATGAAGCCCTTTATTCCAATATTGCTTTTGTAGGATTAGAAGTCGAAGCAATGATTTGAGTCAACGAAAATACATGTTAGAAATTGTTTATTAGTAGCTTCATGCCTTTTAAAATCATCACTAGCCAAACTATTTTTTTGTAAAAAACGACAAGTGGTAAATCAAGAAGATACTATATAAGTTATATAAAAGTGAATAGTCGACTATTGGATACCTATTTGATTCTTATGTATATTCAGTAGAGGTACACTAATTTTGAGAATATATAGAATAGAATGGTTATAAGATTTTGTAAACATTATAAGAATAAATGGGTTATGGAGGCCCTTTGAGCTAAACACAGTCGCGAATATACATACATTTTAACTGGCTACAACGTTGATTTTCAGATATTTTTCTTTATTGTATTTTTCTTTTGCCATTCGTTTTACCTGCTTCAGTCAGTTGATATTGAATAAAAAAAAAACGGAGACACGAAATTTAGAAGATTTTGAATAAATAGTCGACTATTGGATACCTATTTGTTTCGTATGTATATTCAGTCGAGGTACCCTAATTTTGAGAATACGTATATAGAATGGTTATAAGATTTTGTGAATATTATAAGAATAAATGGGTTATGAAGGCCATTTGAGCTGAATACAGTCGCGAATATACATTTTAACTAGCTACGACGTTGATTTTCAGATATGTTTCTTTATCATATTTTTCTTTTGCCAATCGTTTTACCTGCTTCATTCAGTTGATTTTAACGGAGACACGAAATTTAGAATCCAACAAAAAATATCGAGCCAATTTTCGTGCCAAATTTTATTGCAAAAATAGGACCCCTGTATTCTCGCAAAAAAATATTAAAATAAGAAAAAAAATGTTAGTGTTCATCAAGAGCAAATGCAATATCCGAGAACGAGTATTGAAAAAGTACGTATTGCGAGACAAAGCTGTTCCGGACAATAGCGGAAAATATTGGTCGAGGGAGTGAAATAAACTGAAAAGCGATTTTCAGTTCCAAAAGGAGCTATTATGTTCGCAGCTATTTTATCCAGATTTTTTGCTCGCTGCTCACTTTCTTGTGCACTTTGATTTATGAGACACCTGGTTATGTTGAGTTGCGAAACATAAATAAACGAAAGGTTTCTGATATTCTTAACTCAACATTTATTTGTCATTACTAAATTTTAAGATAGAAGACCTGCAAAAAAAGTTTTTTAGTAGCAAAAACGCCCGTTGTAATTGGAATTCAAGAGAATATTTAGGCGTTTATTCATCAAAAAATTTTGTATGTAGTACATTTGTTGAATAGTACAAAATAAAAGAATAAAAAAATTGCAAGTGCAAAATAAACCACTGCAAAGCAGTAGATTGCGGTTAACATATCTCTGTGCAGTTTCATTCCTTAAAAAGCCGTCGTAATATCGTATAAGGTGCAAAAATCTCACCTTATATGGGAAAAAAATCTTACGAAAAGTCATAAATACGAGTCTAATTCATAATTGAACCGCGTTATAATTGAGCCGCTATTCTTGAATCTATAAAATAGGCATCAAAGAACTTATAGAATTTTACCGCCGTCGCATACCGGAGACGAATAAAGGCGGGCGTTTTGTATTTTCTTTCAACGTCTCATTTCGGAACAATACGCCTAATGTAATGCCACAAATGAATACGAAGTTCCGGGCGGGGGTGCCGTAAAATGTAGGGAGAGATTTACAGTATATTCTCGTTTGGACATTGCCGTAAAATAAAAACCTTTTTATAAAGCAAATTGAGGCAAAAGAAGTAATAAAACTTGCTTGTTTTCAGACTTATTGCACAAATGTTATGTATGTAATAAATACAATCTAATTAAAAAACTACGACAGACAATCCTATAGCAAAATGTAAAGTGCTATAGACACCAACTGCCCTCTTTGTATTTTTCTTCAAATCTAAATTTAACGAGCTTTACCGTGTAAGTAAATGGTAATGTCGCTCCGTACCTCCTTGTCATAAATAACATATTTGCATTTCGGTGACTTCCGAGATAGCGGTGGCATTCAAAGTTTTATTGTCAACTAAGGAAATTCAATTTGTATTGAATTGATATTCAATTATTTTTTATGAAATTGATCCACTAGTTTATTATAACTATTAATACAATAACTATTTCGAATCCGGCCGGATCGAAGGATTTTTTTCTAAGTGTTCGATCTTTGTATGAGTAAATATAACAAACTAGTGGAGTCACAAAAAATAATTGAATATCAATTCAATACAAATATAATTACAGTTAATAGCGACACGCTTACCAGGCCTGGTAGCTCTACAGTTCCTAACTGGGTGACGAAATACTTTCATAGATTTCTCATACATAGGGCGCACTATAAGTTTCCGGAACTGGACACTTATATAAACAATATTTAAAAACTAATTACAACATTTGAAAATGGTACTCTTTAGCTGTAAAATAAAGTTTGTTTCATCTGACTGTCACTTGTTTTTACATTATGGCGTCATTTTAGAAATTGGTTGTCCACATCACCATGGATTTAACTCGTGAAAATTTTCGTCGTAACATTTTCTACTTTCAGTGGAATGTAACAGCTCAGCGGAGCTTCGCTCGGCTTCAAACTGCTTTTGGCGATGAAGGTTTGCAGAATTCAAACGCGGTCACGTGAATCTCAGTGACGAATTTCATGATGGTGGTCCGTCCACTGCTCTGAACAACAAAAACTCCGATACTGCGCGCCGTATAATCAAAACTGGCAGGCATGTGGCATACCATGAGATTCGGGCATCTTTAGGTATAGACATGAGTCGAATACAATCAATACTACACAAACATTTGGGTGTGAAAAAGCTGTGCTCTCGGTGGATCCCACACAATTTGACTGAGGCTCAAAAAACGGACCGTGTCACTTGGTGCAATGCCATGCTTACCAGATTCAACGAAGGGGCATCAAATTTGGTGTGGAACATAGTAACAGGTGACGAAACATGGATTTATAGTTACGATCCCAAAACAAAGCAGCAAAAGACCGTATGAGTCTTTCGAAATTAGCCAAACCCAATCAAAGTGGCGCGCGTGCAAAGTGTCTCTAAGCGGATAATTGCTTATATTTTTAATAAAACTGGACGCGTGGCTACCGTTGCTTTGGAGAATCGTTATACCGTGAATTGGTACACGACCATTTGTTTACCGGAAGTTATTGACAAACTCCGTAAAAATAACCGTAAACGCCGTATCATCTTGCACCACGATAATGCCAGTTCTCATATGGTCAGACAGACAAACGAATTTTTGAAAGTGAACAACGTTGACCTTATTAGCCATCCCGTGTACAGTCCGACCTGGCACCTTGTGACTTATATTTATTTCCAAAAAATAAGAACCAGTTACGCGGTCAAAGATTTTCACCACCTGAAGAGGCTGTCGAAGAGTATGAAAAATAAATTTCAGAGATTGATACGGAGTGGCATAAATGTTTTCAAAATTGGTTCATTGGTATAAATAATAATAATAATAATAATAAATGTTTATTCAGTAAAGGTAAGTTTTACAAATTAGTTGTTGACTCCCTCTATTAGGTACAACATAAGCACCTGTGTCAGAGCGAGCCCCGTGCGAGAACAGTGCATTAACGCTAACGGAGAACATTTTGAGAAACAATAAGTTCATTTCTGGCCATTTAGAGTATTTCTTTCTTATTCATTCTGGAAACTTATAGTGCGCCCCAAGTAGCTGCGGCTAAAAAGTTGTTGAAAATCAAATACAAAGATCCGACAAGAAGCACATAGAAAAATTCGTGACGTCCGCTGGTTCGTTCCGTGTCTGGTATAGCGTCTGACATGGTTTGCTAAAAGACGTCAGTTCGAATCCGGCCGGATCGAAGGAACTTTTTCTAAGTGTTCGATCTTTGTGATAATAATTATAACTAAGGAAATGCATGCCTTAATGCCAATTACGCTGATTTTGCTTAACAACGAAACTGAAAGTAAATAAGATATTAAAACAATCGATTCGAAGGGGCTGTAGATCTCTTTCGCTGATCCCAGACATATTAATAGTTAAATTTCACAAGAAATGTCGATTACGATAATTATGGATAAGGATAGGATAAGGGCATATAAGAAAGGATATTTTGTTAATTTTTAACTATGAAACTTTCAATTGAAACAATGCAAAGGAGAAGGAATACACGGGAAGAGCCCGGGGCAAACGTGGCAACTCCGGAAAGGAGTCAAAGTGAATCAGCTCGCAGCGGACACGCCTGGATTAATTCGTTAAGACGAGACTTTCACAGAGGGAAATAAAAATAGACGGGTCACTAATCGCTTTTGTCCCACCAATCCATGGCAATTCGCTTTCACCAATTGTTGGGGCAACAAAACCTTTTTTTAGATTTTTCGCGGCTGGTATTTGAATAAACCGGACGTCGTGTGAAGGCTAAAGGTATTTTTAATATCCGTATCCCGTACACCTCTACTGCGGTGGTAGCACTTCCAAAACTTTCTCCATTATTCATGTTTTCATGTTTGCAGATGCCTCAAGCTTTGAACTGATTAGGATTATTAATACTTCCTGTTTATATTTACAGAACTTCAACCAGAAAAATATTTCGGTTTGAAACCGAAATATTCAAAATAAATAAAAACCGACCTAATTTCAAAGACTCGTAACTCAAAAGTGGTCAATTTTGCGGCTAATCAAATCATGAAATAAGTTTCGCGCCGTCAACGGTCCGAGCGGAAGCGAAACTCGTAACGCCTTTTTCGCTCTTATTGCACGGCCATAAAGCTTAAGCCGATTACGTGTTAACAATTTTAAAATGCAATATCTTACTGATGAACCGTAAAATAGATCTATCGAGTTATGAATTCGTTAGAGTCTTTCACCGTCTGATACGGATTTTCACTTTAACAAAACATGTACTGGGGAATTGCTAAACACTGACGCCAGTGTTTAACTGTGTAATTAATTATGTAAGTAAAGTAGGATTGGAACAAAAAGCGAAACTAATTTGGGTTACATGTAAAGATGAACAATTTCCCATCATCGTTACTATTGAATTGATGATCGTATTGCATCTAAAGTTTAATAGATTTTATGATTTTGATATAACACTTTGTTAATGGTTATACAAGATGCTTACAATAACAACATTTGGTTTCAGTACAGCCCCAAACTGCAGTACAGCAGTAAGCAGCAATAGAACTTCTTGTGAAAGAGTTCGTTAAGGGAAGTACTGCCACCTTACCTATTTCTGCCGCCAATGTGAGCAGTATGCATTAGAGCGCGTTTATTCGATAGGAATTTCATTGCGTTCATGTCTTCGCAAAATACGCTCTATTTATTTAACGTTTACGTTTTAACTTAAATGAGCGTCCCGGGCGCGAGCGAACTTGGCCTGTCGTGGCCGCCACGGTGCGACCGGGCGAGCGTCCGCGTGGACCCCGCGCGGCGACCACGCGTTTATATTATTCCGAGTAATTTAAATGTTGTTGCCTAGTAAATAGATTTCATATCGCCATTAATGTACGTGAAAGCGCGGTAACTGTGCGGTCACCGCCACGGCGACCGCGCGAAGACAATCGCGTCGTATATCTAAGCGCTGAGAGTGCGTCGGTTTTGCAGGGTAGTGAAATTACAGGCACATCAGAAATATCAACTTATGTCTCAGGGTGACAGGCGCAGTGGCAGGGTCCGTCAGATCTTTGCGACTTAAAGCTCTGAGAGACACGCAACTGCTATGGACAAGCGCGTCGCTTAACACCAGGAGTACGACTTGTACGCCCTGTCACTTGTCATCATAAAAAAAGTTAAAATTGAACTGTACCCTGTGGCACTCAAGTATAAGCAGTTAGATACGGAAGACGGCATTCAAGTGTCTCTCATTAAAAACTAAGTGATTAAACTTTGTTAGGTAATACTTTACACGCACGGGTTAGAAATGGAAAAATAGTCGTCTAAAAATACAATACTCTTTAATCGGTTTACTGGAAGCGGGCTGCAAAATATTTTGCTCGGCAATTGTTTGAATACCAAAATGCAAATGTCTGAACGTCAATCAATTTACTATGGAAATCTGCAAGATTCGCGAAAACATGTTTTCCAGAGGCCCGGGTTTATTATACGTGGCAAAATTTCTACATCTACGAGTAAACTAAATGAACCCAGTACGGGTCAATTTGTTTTTTTTTTAATATTTCTAACGAGACTGAATTTTTATTGAATATTATGATTTTTTACTACCTTCATGTACAATTCTTTTTTGTAAAAATACTGCACTAGTTTATTATTATTATTAATACAAAGATCGAACAAACACAAACTGCCTCCGTGGCCACGCTGAATTCTCGGGTTTGACAAAAAAAAAATATTTCCGAGCCGGAAGAAATATTTGTACGGCCTACATTTATTTCTCTCGTGAGTTTGTACGTGTCTATATGTGTGTCCATAGCATCCGCGGGTTTTGCTAATACAGGACTATGATGCAAAAAAAAAACAAAAATTTCTTCGTTCTTACTGGATTCCAACCAGCGACTGTTGCCTCAACATAGCTACCGCTCAGCCAACTGAGCTACAGGTCGAGCCAGCATATCTTACGAGTCCCTCTATGTGCTTGCTACGGATATTTCTACTCGATTTAAACGATTTTTTGTCGTAGCGCCACCTATGAGTCACGAAAGTTTCTTTACTCAAGTAGGTACAATCACAGCTACCAAAAAACTGACCGAGATGTATAGATGATATAGAGTCACAGCGCGTTTTATCTATCACGTAATTAATATTATCCCTTCCGAGTTATAAGGAACCAGTAATATTTGTAAGCTTACGAATATAATTAAATTTAATGTAATTCACAAATACTAACAAATTAAGGACGACAGCACAACAAGCTACACATGGACGTATCTTATTCCGTTGTACTGGAGGCGATATTCGAATAAAAGTGGCAACAGCACATCAAGTGTTCCATAAAACAAAAGTTGCCATAGTAAAACTGCAGTGCAAAGTGCAAAAAAATTATGTTTTATGAAGTATTAT